AAAGGGGTTAAGTTAGAGTGACGAGGTACGTACTCACTGTGAAATTACTGTGTATTAAAGGTTTGTATCGAGGAATAATAAAATGGTTTAATCAAGAATGGACTTGTATCGCTGAAGTTTCTCTGAAAGAATTTATACCGGAAATTAACAAACAAGCAGATACACAACACTACTTTATGTGCTTGTTTTTAATAATGGATATCACGGAGAAAGTATGATCAACATCTGCATTAGAAAATCACAAAGATAACAACTTAATAACCAGTGACGTCAAAGTTTTGAATATCGGTTCTCTTAACACATTCTTGTTTGCAACACTGAGTTAAAATTCAACATTTTGAAGCGATCGATTCGCAATCTGCGTGTCGCGGTTTGGAATCCCCGTCACACCAAACATGCTCGCCCTTTCATCCGTGTGGGCATTATAATGTGACGGTCAATCCTACTATTCGTTGGAAAAGAGTAGCCGAAGAGTTAGCGGTGGATGGTGATGACTAACTGCCTTCCATCTGGTCTTTCACTGCTAAATTAGGGACGGCTAGCGAAATTCAAACCAAACCATTAACATTTTAATCAGTTGTAAAACGGCCAAAGCCATACTTCTGTTGGGAACCTCATCTATTTTCAGTGGTGTAACGAGCTAATGGAATAACACATTGTATGTATTAAGGTGATTTCGAAACGTTATGCATTTGTTACTGTGTGAAAATAATAATAGTTTTCTTTGTTACCCATGCAGCTCGTCTCTAAACTTACCTTATCAAGTTATATTTGAAGAAAGTTTCGTTCACTTTCAAACGGATATAAGTTAACACACACACACTCTCAGAGAAAAATAAATTACCTAAACTATAAACAAATGTCCAGCTCTGTCATTTGTTACTAAGTCTTCATAAAGTACCAGAAAGTGCCTTTCGTCAATGCTATAGGAATTCCATATAAGAACTTTCGCACGGAACCATAAACTAATGCTCAAGCCATTACATTTACGTCAATAAGTTGGGATAGTATAATTCTTGCTCTATCCAATCACATTTAACCTTTTTTTTTATATGTTTCATTAGTAAATGAATGATCAAAGCACTTGACGTGACGTCATAATAATGTTATAAAAACTCAGCAGAAAAATACAAAGGAAACACTTTAATTTCAAGAAATGGCCAATATACTCTCGAGAGGTGACGGGGTCTTTGCAAAAGTATTTATTATTTAGGGGATGTCCAGAAAATTCATTAAAAATTGACAATTACGTGCAGAAATGAAAATTTGATTTAAATGTTTTCTCTCTATGAATTATACTAATAAGTGCTAGAAAGTAACTAAACATCAAATTTAAAATATCTTAATAGTTAAAATTTGAAAAGGTTTTTCGTTGTACAAAACTTGTCTGTGACATTTTCTGATTGGCTAAAGGACATACCAATCAGTGATTCCCTTACCGGCCTACGTTGATCTGACTCATTTTATAAGCTGTACTATTTCCTATAGATCATTTACCAGACGATTCTGCTATGATTAGTGTCTGGTGAAAAGCTTCATCGGATATTTTTTTTGCAACATCTCAACCAACAATTGGTTCAGTTATCAACGTTGGTAATATACTCAGACATCTACAGCTTTAATTCAAGGTTATGATGGTGTATATGATGGAAATGGGTTCACTTTGTATAACTCCAACAATAAACAGGATGTCTGCATAAAAGAATCCTTGGCTATCAAAAAACTTAAACCTGGATTGAGTTCAATCACTCGGCCTAGACATTTTTTTAATACAAGTGCATTTGAAAAATAAGTTTGCACAAACGATTCAATATATCATAAATAAATACACAAGAGATACTTTGAAACGTTGTAACGGCTGAAGCTACAAACAAATAATGAAAACGATGGCATATTAACACGATATTTTGTTTGCTAAGGGGGTCCGTTATATGATTAAATAATGTGTATGTGGTAATTAAAAATGCAATACTCATAATTAAATTCGCACTTTTATCTTACAATTTGATTTTTTACGACATAGACTTTGTTTGTTTTTGAATTTCGTCCAAAGCTACACTACGGCTATCTGCGCTAGCCGTCCCTAATTTACCAGTGTAAGAGTAGAGGGAAGGCAGCTAGTCATCACCACCCACCGCCAACTCTTGGGCTACTCTTTTACCAACGAATAGTGGGCTTGACTGTCACATTATAACGCCCCCACGGCTGAAAGGGCAAGCATGTTTGGTGGGACAGGGATTCAAACCTGCAACCCACAGATTGCGAGTCGAGTGCCTCCAACCACCTGGCCATGCCGGGCTTAACAGTTTTTTAAACTCATCCCGATAGTCCATGTTTAAATGAAGAACACTGCTTATATCAATATTTTATTAGACATTTTAAAGAAAACAAATAATAACAAAAATTATTTTAAATACAAAGACTAGAAAAAATAGATAAAACAATAAAGAGGAAGTAACGTGGTTAGGAGTTTTATTTAATTTTTAAAATTTTTTTCAACATTTAAACCTTAATTAAAACTTATCAAAATGTAGTTAGAAGTTTTAGTATTATATCTAGTTTTGAAATAAGAGCATGAAAAAAAATACCTGCAAATTCATCATTGTGGAGCTGGTTGACACACGTGTCAGTCCACCCCAAGTGAAATGTGTCAACATGCTCCAAACTGCCATTTTGCTAAAAATGACTTGCATGTGTCGTCTCTCCCAGGCATAGTTATCAAACAAAATTGTCCCCCGGTAGAACAGCGGTAAGTTTTCGTATTTACAATGCTAAAATCAGGGTTTAGATTTCCCTCGGTAGACACAGCAGATAGCCCGATGTGGCTTTGCTCTAAGAAAACACACAGACACACAAACAAAATTATGTACAGCCGAAGGAATTCACCTTTAAATACTTGGTAACATAAATTCCCTGAGCACGGTACTTAGTATATCATAAAATCTTTGCAGAAGAAAACAGTTTCTTAAGTACATAAAAATATCAATTTACCCCTGCACACGACAGGGTATTCTGATCACGATAGACTTGAAACAGTATGTGACGCGTGTTTGGATATGTTAATAGTCATTATATCAAGGCTACCAACTTTAGTGTGTGAAATTTGTCAGCACTGTGTCAACCAGCCCCCGTCTCTTCCTTACTTGGATTTTATGAAAATGTTTTGATGAAAGCACTAATAATATAATATCAAAAAACAGATAAACTAAAATAACTAAAATCGATCAAGAAAGAAAGCTTTTCTGATACTACAATATAACAGTGAAGCTAACACTCAAACGATGGAAGATCACTATTCTCCAAAGTCAGTGTTTGCAGCAATCCATCTTATATAGTGTGAAACCCTAGTATAAACTCCAGGGAAGCCTGGTTCAGCACAGTTAAACCCAAATGACACAATTCCCACTAGTGTCCATCGTCCACTTTCTTCTAGTACCAGAGGTCCTCCAGAATCACCCTAAAATATGTAAAATTGGGATAATATCGTTTCCATTAAACAAAAAAGGAAATGAAAATTATAAAGAGACTAAATACCATTTCTTAAAAATAAAGAAGGCAAGAAAGAACCCTTAAATATGTTCAAACAGGTTGTCTTTAAGAAAAGGCATTCCTGATATTAAGATAATAAATGTATTTATGTTTTGATATATGCTTTATATCACACTAAAAACACAAGATGAAAAGTATTCACACTGACTTTAAAATCAATATTTCTTAAGAAGTCAAAACACTACTAACCATCTTGCTACAAGATGTTTTATACGTCTTCTTTTTTTGTAAAACTGGGCACTTTAAAAATTTTAATACTTATATAGGACTTACTGTGTTTTGGAATGATCTGAGTTCCTAAAGTATGTTAACTATTGTCTATTTGTGGCCCATCATTGTCTCAAATTATACGTGACATAATCCCAAGTCTTTGTACTATTAACAGAAATATCTCATTTACAGATTTACAATGCTAAAATCTAGGATCTGGTTCCCCGCAGTGGACAGAGTACAGATAGCTCATTATGTAGATTTACACCACAACTTTCTCATTTAAGAAAAAGGTTCATAAGATGAGGTACATGAACACTAATATAATACATATTTCGCCATTGGTTAACATTTCAATTAAACCTACTATCTTGTTTTTAGGACTAATGAAGGTAAAAGTAACCCGAAACGTTACCCAATAAAACTAGTTTTTAGTGGCAGTATTTCACCTTTGTGTGTGCGTGTTATTACTTAAGTGGCTTCACTTATTTTTCAGCTGTGAGTTTTTCAACTAATTCTGTCAAACAGTTTTTCCCAAACCTTTAATTCTAAATTATATTAGTTATTTTGATGCCTACAAGAACTATTGTCAGTTCTCTAGTTTCTATGTCATTATTCTCTGATAAAAAATGAATAGATAATGATTTGATCATGCAACTTAAAATATTATTAAAGTTTTATACTATGTCAGTACATCTGAGAAACTAAAATATATACAATTGCGAAAAATATAATTTATTGGCAGTTTACAGCGCCATGACATTTCTATTCTATCGTATCTTAAGTACTCATAAACTTTGGAGCCTAACATTATAACTCGTTCGTTAATACTTTTTATTCAGAAGATATTTAATACCTGACATGCATCTTTGCCACCCTCAGAAAGTCCAGCACAGATCTGCCCTCTAGTGATACCTTGTGGATATTTGTGCGACGCCACCCACGAATATGAATTGTTGCATTCCTTGTTCGATACAACAGGGATGGAAACTTGTTGAAGTACTTTACTTCTCGCACCTCCTGAAAAGTATGTTAAATAATTACATGCTTCTAAGTTAACACATAACTTTAAGAAATATACCGTTTTAATAGCTCGAGATTAAGATACATTAACTTCCAACTTTGGTAGATCAATATGCTTATAATTAAACCTACTGATTTGAAGTACACTTCATAAACTTTGGTAAAAATGTTTTGATGCAGTACTTACAGGCACTCTTTTCTACAAATATTATGTGGATCATTTTCTAGTACTAAATCTATTAAAATACAATCTCGACAAAAAGAGGTATTGACGAAGAATTTAAGAAACATCACGATATCATATTTCATAAAACCAATAAGATAAGTGCTAACTACTTAAAGTATGTTACAATGTTTGAAATTAAACATCTTTATAAAACGTGATTAAAGTAGCCGGTAGAATTAGGAATTTTATTTCTATTGCTCTTGTTTAAAATAATTTGTTATTTTCTTAATTTAAATGTAGTTAGTAATCTAATGATGAATGAAGGTAGTTCAACGGTTCCTAAAATTAAGTAAAAATAATCATTGAAAATAAATTTTAAAATAGAACATACCGAAAAACGTATCTCCCCAACCTGTGACAGTTACCTCTCTTCCTTTAAAGTCTTGACCAATAAAGGAAGGCTTAGGTAAACAGACTGGTTTGACTTTATTATTCAGGCTGACTTGTCCTTTAACCTTCAAAACAGCAATATCGTAGTAGTTTTTGGAGGGATGGTAACGTTCGTGTATTATAACATCTTCTACATCATATTTTTTTCCATCTTTTAGGGTGTGACCTCCCACACGAAACGTATACACAGATGAAGAACTACAGATGGATGAATGTGTTCAAAAGGAATAAAATACAAATTTCGTTTGATAGTAATAAATATCATATAATGAAATATACACAATGCAAGGTTCTGGGAACACTATCGAACGGTACGTGAGAATCATACTACAGTATCAACTTATAAGAATGTTTGTTTGGTTTTACTAAATGCAGTGTTTAACTGAAATTAATTCAAAGTATATCATTATATAAGCTTTTAGATGAACATTCTTGATTACACAGAGTTTGTTTGTTCTTGTTGCCACTGGGTGCTATCAAGAGAGAGAGAGAAAGGGAAAAATACAAAAGCTAAGTAGTTGCAGACACTGGTTGAAGGCAATACCTCACCCACTATTATGATTTCTACCTGTTCTACACTTCCTTGTCTTTAAAGCAACGCTAGCTCTTCTATTAGTGGTTTCTAATGTTGAACGAAATTAGCCTTTGAGACTTAATCGCTGTGAAGATGAAATCAGCATTAAATATTTTGTTGTTTATTATTAAGCCCAAAGCTACTCAAAAGGCTATCTGTGCTCTGTCCAACACGGGTATCGAAACCAGTTTTATAGTGTTGTAAGTCCGCAGACATACTGCTGTGTCACTGGCGGGCAGTAGCAATAAAGAAGCCAACTTGACCAATTTTGACACCAGAAAAACCTGGAACTGTCTATATTACTACTTGGGACATGGAAGAAGGTATCTTTGTATCAAATCCTATGTAAGTTGGTTGACATACCAAGAATACCAAAAATTGTGATTTCTCACTGAAAATTGAGCAAAATACAAAAATTCCAAAATTGTTTATATCTCTGTTTGAACCTGCAAAGAGTTTCTAAATCCCACGTAAACTGGTCGAAATATGGCTAAGTAATTAACCAAGTCCCCAAAAATTCTGCTTTCTCCTATAATGAACAAAAATGGGTATACCCCATATTCTTGTATGTGTATATATACAGGACCTGTAAAAAAATATCTTTGTACCAAATTTCGTGTAATTTGGCCAAAATACGGCAGAGTAATTATTTAAAAAAAATACTAAAATTCTTTTTGTGGCATCTTGACCCTTCTATAATTACTAAAAATGGGCAATTCCATCGTTTTTGTTTGTCAATGTGTGGGTTCTGTAAAAAAGTATCTTTGTACCAAGTTTCATCTAAACTGGTCAAAATAGGGCCGAGTAATTGACCCAAAACCCCAACATTATGCTTTTTGGTGAGCTCTGCCCCTGACCTCTAAAAAGACTCAAAACAGGCAAATTCAACTTAAATGTCAATACATTGCGCGAATGAAAATTTATATTTGTGCCAAGTTACACCTTGATTGCTCTACGCATGACCGCAGAGGAGCGGGAGCAAAAATATAAATCTTTGGGTTGTTTGATTTTTGACCCTATCAAATCCTTTAAAATGCCTAAATCATAAAGATGAAAATGTTGACTGGATGTATTCGATGAAGTTATAACCCTATTGAGTTTCAAGTCAATCCGTCGAGAAATGAAGGAATGACGTCGATTGAAAAGTGTTTTGGAAGAAGAAGAAACAAAAGGAAAACAGAATGTGTCTTTATAAGAGAATATACTATTATTTTTGATATTTGTTGTTAAACCCAAAGATACATAATGTACTACTTATGCTGTGCCTGTTATGGGTAT